TGAGGTGATGCTGTCAAGATATCTTTCGGAGAGCGCAGATATACGTTTCTTTGTCATGTTCCAGCCTTCAGCTATTATACAAACAAAGAACAAGACTTCTGTTCATAATTTATACGATGGTCTAAACTCTACAGATCACGTGACGTATCAAATGCTTTTTATTATCACTATCGGAGAGAAAGGTCAACGTAAGTGTTATATATGGAATTTAACGACAGATTTATATTTGATGTTGAACGCAGTACATACTTGAGAGTTGTGTAGGTTTACCTGTTGTTACTACTGCTTTAACGGCTGACCAGTAACTGGAGAAAGATGATGTGCTTTAATGGCTAAGCACTGCTTTATAAACGGGGATTTAGTGTGTTTAGGCAGAGTACTTAGTAATGTATTATGCATATTGAGTTTGTTTAATCTGATAATTATGGATATTATAGGCAATGCTAACCGACGAATGAAAGCCTCTGAGGTCAGACTAGGTAGAAGAATACGTATACTTACGGAGAAAGAAAGAATATTATAGGTTATTTCTTCAGAGCATAGCAACGATGTAAGCGTCAGTTACATTACAATTACAACTGGCTAAGAAATAAAGCAAAGTTTTGACAAATTTCATATCGATGCCATGTTAACAGGATTTTTAAATGATTGATGGTGCCCCTTAATGATTGTGCAAACTTTCGAAAACGCATAGTTTTATAGATTTACTCAAGTCTTGAGGCGTTATAGAGGTGTTTCTAGTCGTCAGATTGGAAAAAAAATTTGAAGAGCCAAAATGGGTCTGATAGCAATTGTCCTTAAAATGCACTTCCTCATAGGTGTATAGCGTGGAAACGAGTCGAGATTGACTGTGAACATCACTACAAAGAAACACGTACCAAATAAATCAGAAGACGAAGACTGAATGCAACCAGATTTATTTGTTGGCGATGTCGTGATATCGGACGAATACTAAGATTGTGCCAAGAAAAGGTACAAGCGGAATCAGCAGGAGAAAGTACGTGCGAACGGAGTCACGAGCCGCGAAACAATAATGGAGAGTAATGGTAGCACAATATATATGTCATTAGCACAGTTAAACAAAAGCACATTAAACAAGCACAGGTACAATTGGTTATGATAATAATAATTGTTTTCATTAAATCAATCGTGTTCACTACAGGAGCCACCCGCTAGAAAGTGTTTACACTTTCGACAAGTAGCGGTTTAAATCGTGGGACTGATCGGCTGACGAGTGATTGTAGGACGGAAGAATTGGCGGAACAGGAAAACGATCGTTGATCGTCTAGTTGCCAACGAAGGTCTTTTTCGGAGAACAGTACCAGGGGCGGTGTGCTGTATTTGTTGCTCGAGTTGGCATACCACACCATTGTGGCTTGTATTCAGAATCCGGAGATTACGTTCGTAGAGATGAGGAACAGGAACGCTGCAGACGTAGGAAGGAACCACGTTGAGCCTAGGAACGAGAAGCGACCATGACGACCAAGTTCGAGACCAAGCGTATGCCAAACTTTCAAAACCAAAATATCGACTGAGTGCGTTGACATGGGCGTGGATGGCCAATCTAGCTTTCTCCAAAGTTGACTAAAGACGACGGTACCAAACGGGAATGGTCGGAGGCGTGGGCTCAGGATTCAGAAGAAAAATAAAAAAAGAAGAGTGTAGCATGCATGTAGTATAGGAATAGTTCTACACCGTATCCGTTGTTGACTGTGCGGCTAGTCAGGGAAGCGTACGAGCAACCGTACTTGGCGATCGAACGTGAGCTTGCAATCCCATCCGAAGTCAAGGGCGGCGTGGTCTGCTGATCTGGACTTGAGACTATCGTCTCGTCCGTAGATGGTGCAGATGACGTGTGCTATTGACCGGGACGTGAGGATGAGGTTTCGGAAGTATCTAGTGTGGGACCTGAAGAAGATTTAAGGATCCTGCTAGTAGGTTTGTTAGGTCTAGCATTGAGTCTCAGGTTATCAGATAGGGCACTGTCATCGACGTGTGCTGGTTTGAGACGATTAATGCTGACGATCTCGACGCGGCCATGTCGATCAACCTTGATGGTCTTTTCGTGAAGGGCAATCACGTGAAAAAGGCCGTCTCAAGGTTGTTGCAAAGGTTTGCGGACCGAATCTACTCGTATGAAAACATGTGAACAGGTAGATAACTCTCGAGGGAGAGTGACCTGTCGATGTTGTATTCCAGTTGACACTGGAGGCAGCGTTCGCATAAATGCAGACAGTCGTTGTACGTAGTCTGACTTACCGAAATCAGGTCTGCTCCGTGGTGTGAAGAATTCCCCAGACAGACGCAATGTCTTGCCGTATACAAGTTCCGCGGCGGAACATTGGATATCTGCCTTCAAGCTCGTTCTGATGCCTAAGAGGACGAGCGGTGAGGTTTCGTACCAGTCGTTGTTTTCGTGTGCTCGAAGAGCACTTTTAATTTGGCGGTGAAATTTTTCAACTAAACCATTTGAAGCTGGGTGGTAGGCGGTAGTGCGTATGCGTTCCATACCAAGCAGCCGGGTAAGCGAGGAGAATAAGGCGTACCGAATAATCAGCACTTTTAACTCGCGTGACGATAAATTCCACGCTCTTTTTGAGAAATTCCCCATACTAACTGAACCACTCGAGGAGCCTCCATCGGTGACCAATCGTATGGTACACCACATAGTCACCCGCGGACCGCCAGTCACGTCACGACCTCGCCGACTGGCACTGGACAAATTAGCTTTCGCTAAACGTCAGTTTGACAATTTACTAGCTACTGTTATTATTCGTCCTACTCACAGTCCATGGGCCTCTCATCTTCATATGGTGGGCAAAAAGGGAGGGGTCAGTTGGAGACCACGAGGCGACTACCGAGCTTTAAACGTAAATCCGCGCTTTGATAACTACCCCATCACCCATCGCTCAAGGGCACGACTATTTTTTCTAAGATCGGTCTGGTACGAACATAAGATCAGACCCCAGTCGCTCTTGAAGATATCGAAAAAACTGCTGTCACGACTCCTTTCGGTTTGTTTGAGTTCCTACGTATGCCTTTTGGATTACGGAATGCTGCTCAAACTTTTCAAAGGTTTATCGATAGCATTGTACGAGACTTAGATTTCGTTCACGTCTATATTGATGACCTGCTAATCGCATCATCGAACGTAGATAACATTATCAACATTTCACACTATAGTAGTCAACTCAGACAAGTGTGAATTGGGCAAGTAGGAAATAATGTTTCAGGGTCACATCATTAAACACGAGGGTATTTTACCTTGTGAGGATAAAGTACGTGTAATAAAGGAGTACAGCATGCCGTCCTCACTCAAGGAACTGAAGGCATTTCTCGGTTTGGTTAACTTCTACCGTCGTTTCATCCCACACGTGGCAGAACGGTTACGACTACTAACCGACTTGCTTCGCGGCAGCCCACGCAAGTTAGAAATGAACGATACCGCGCTAACTGCATTTACAGAGATCAAAACAGCTCTGGCGCAAGTCACACTTCTTGCTCATCCCGATCCATCAGCCACGCTTAGTATAGCGATTGATGCATTTGATTTTGCTATAGGAGCCGTTATGTAACAGAACATCTCCGGTAGTTGGCAACCCCTCTAGTTTTTCTCACGACGCCTTACTCCCACGGAGACGAGATATAGCGCTTTTGGTCGCGAACTGCTAGCAGCTTACTGCGCCATCAGACATTTTCGGCACGCAGTAGAAGAAAGTCAATTTATCTTATTCACCGACCATAAGCCCTTAAGGTATGCTTTGCATACCAAGTCTGTTCGCTACTCACCACGAGAGTGTAGACGTTTGGACCATATCTCCCAGTTCACGACAGACCTTCGTCATATCAAAGTCGAGTGGAACTGTGTTGCCAATGCTCTGTCACGTATCCTAGCAAATGCAGTTACACTGCTGGTGCTCGTGTTCTCGTGATAAAAGTAAGTCACTACAGGTGTATACTTTTGGCCTTTGTCAACCTGAACAGTAAGTACAGAATATGTGATAGTGGCCATCTTATGCCCTCTGACCGGATGGAAATCTTTATCTCATTCTAAGAAGCAAATGCTACAGAAACAGTCTTCAACATTTTGAAACAGGGATTAATATATAACCAGCCGGTAACACGTGCTACCTAAATTTGGAGTACTTCCATCCTAAATTAAAGCTTTCTCTACTCAGTCCCAAGACATTTCGTCAAGTTGTGGAATGATAAGATGCGTTCTCAGGATTCGCTCCAGACAAATTACTCTTGCCGGGATGCTCAGGAGTTTTGATTACTATTATTAATTATTAGTGACTCCACAAAACAACCAGGCACAAGGTTTCTCTGTAAAGTTCCAACAACTTTACTGCCGCAGAACAAACTTATTAATTATATCTAAAATATAAACATAGAATGCAAATATCGCTCACGGGTTACAGCTCAGCCAACTGGTGAACGACATGAAGTGCTTAGAAACATATTTGAAAAACTGAACCTCTTTACTCTGTCCTATCGCAGACTAAGGGGAGATCTAATATTGATGTACAGAATACTGAAAAATGATTTCGGACCTAACTTATTCTCTCTCTTTCTTCCCACTAGATCAGGACACCTCAGAGGACATAGCAGGCGAGTAGAAAAGCCAAGAACGAACAAAATACCCGTGGCATACAGGTTTTCACACCGAGTCATCAATACTTGGAACCTGCTGCCTGAAGCAGTGGTGTCCGCACCTTCAATTGACTCTTTCAAGAGAAGACTGGACACTCACAGAAGCTTACTAGAAAAGGAATAACATAGGCCGTAGGCCTTCTGTCCTTACTACACAAATCTGAATCTGAATCTGTATCAGCTCGTTTCACGCATATTAAATGTCAAAAGGTATAATCCCTGTGATCAAAACTAATACAAACATGAAAATTTCTGTAGTATGTTTTTCTTTGAAAATTGGATTACTATGCATTTGCCACTCGTACTTTGAAGGGCGTCATTGTTTTAATTATTCACTTTGTTTGGTAGTGAGGTCGTGGGGTTACTTGAATGGTTCCAGAGTATGGGGACTACTAGTATCGATGTTTTCGTTATGCGCAAAGTCCTGGCTTTTCAGTCAGATTTTCAGTTGATTTTAATCATATTGTCAAGTTCAAAGTAAAAGCGAAAGTCCGTATGTCGGTGGATCCAGTTGACACCATAAACATATATCACGGGAAGCACGCAAAAAATCATGTGTTGCTACCTTACATCAGGAAAAAAACAACAGTTATTTGATAAGTTTATAGACTTTCTACTATGTTTGATAGCTGGCCACAATGATGCGGAGTGTTGAAATGTAATATCTAAACTGTTAATCATAGTAATCACAAATGGATCATGTAGTGAGACATCAATTTATGGATGACGTCTGAGTGACGTCGAAGGGATTTAGGAAAAGCTCACTACTTCATTATGGCTCAAAAGGAATTGTAAATTAGTTCGAGGACCTAGAATTTAGTGCAATTTTAAAGTAAGGGTTTAGATCCTGGTTAGTGCTCTCATCTCGAAATAATACAAAAAATATGCCAAAATGCTGTAGAGCTATTTGAATGAATGGACGTTGCGCCAAAACGTGAGGGTCGTTGTTGCAAACCTGATTAATTCGTTCATAAATTTTTGTCTTGCCCTGAACTGTGGCTTTTTGTCCTCAAGTACCGTCTGAGTCATTCAGTGCCGCACCAACCTAAGGTTCTATGTTTTTTCTTCAGTAACAATAATACATTTCTTCCATAGATTGAGAACCATGTTAGTCTCATCTTATTTTAAATGTATTTTCTTATAATCAGTGCGGAAGTAGCGTTGATTTAGGATGTTTTCAGTAAATGAATGATCACAGAATTTGTCTGTAATTCTGTGCGATGTAGTTTGACTTTCTTCTTGGAATATTCTGCATATAAACATTACTTGGGGGAATTTGGGATAAAAAGTTTCCATTTGAAAGCACTTTGATTATTTACTGGTAATTCCACACCATCCTAAGTTGTAGACTTCCCACCGAATCCTACATTTATTACGGACTTTCTCTTTTCTCTTAATTTATTTGCACAACGTGCATTACTTATGAACCTTTGAATTAGTATGCGTTCAACTTACGTATGTTTGAATAGTCTTTGTTTTGCGTGTAAATCGGTAATAATTAATCTCCCTCCTTTCAAGGAATTTAATACATATTGCATACAAATGGTCTAAAACTATTATAATTAAGTCTCAGACTCAAAAAGATATCGCTCCCAGCCACTCTCAGTAGACCTTGGGGATAAAACACTACCATAGAAGACTTTCAGCTGGAGATTAGATCATACATATATGAGGTCCAATAAAAGGTATCAAAGTGTTTTGTGAGTAGTGAGAGAGGTGTGAAGTTGGGACTGTTAAAACTGATATAAATAAAAATTTGTAAGGATACGTATGAAGTTCATACTTACGTTGTCGGTCCGTCAAACTCATGTTTTGATTACGTTTCATTTGGAGCTACTTCACTGCGGATTGTCTTTTTATGATTTTTCAACTACCATATTTGCTTTAATATTGTCAAATTTACGTTTGTGGCCCACGATTTTGGCATTCAGGGCAATAGTTAAGGTCTTATTGAGCTTCTGACGTTATGGAAAGGTCCGCATGGTCGAAGGGTCTTACTTTGTTGGTTTTTTGATCATCTTAAATGAGATTGTTTTTTATGTCCTGCATTTTATTCGGCTCAGTTTATTTCCTAATTTTTTTCAATTGTAAAACTGAGGGGGTTTCGTTTTGCGCTTGAACTAGGGTGTTTTGTAGTGTATTCAGGGTTTTATAAAGCACTTTAATATCGGTTTTGCTTTTTATTTATTTATTTAGTCTTGGCAAATTTTTTACGTCCGCATATTTAACGTCAGCTCCTAATAAGCTTGGCTTGTCAGTACCACTGCACCGGATATAATTTTGCTAATAACCTTTATTTTGATGTTAGTGTCACCTTAATGACCACGACTAAAAAGGTATTTCGTGGTGGTTGCGACGACTAATTTAAAAGGATATATTCAAATGATTTTCAATTATGGCATGTCACATATGATAATGCATAGAATAACGAGGTTCTCAAGGGTTTGCAAGAAACAGAATTTCTCATATTTATGAATCGTCAGAGTTAACATTGTGAAGTAGTTCGTTGTTCCAAATTGTCATGTGTACTTTTACTTAATAGGTTCGATCAGGCAAACCTAATCTGTAACGGGCTTGGTAGTTTCGTCTCTCCAATGACTAAGCTTTACACAAATGTTTCGATCATTATCCTTGAACTCCAGCTTCTCACGCATACTCAGCTTTTAGTTGTTTTAGTGTCTGAAACTAAACTATAAATAAAGGATCATAGAGGTTTTCATTCTGAAATGTAAGATTTTTGATTAAGTTTTACCAGATGAATGCGTATGCTCATTAAGTATCATGTTTCCCTATTCAGGGAAATATCTAGTTTCCGAATAGTGGCGCGTACGACAATGATATGAATAGTTATGTACCTCATCAGATTTATTTGACAGGACTTCATAAAGCACTTCTGGCCTTTTTTCAAGGAAAAATTTGCCGCTCATCTCAGTCATTGATATTTCGTCACTGCTTATCTGCGTTTATTTTGACTAATAATCATAAATGGACTTTGGGTTTATTCCAGAACATTCGACTAAACATTTTATCATCCTGTTGTAAACTTTAGGATTGGATTTAAATATCCTTCGTCTTATCGGTGGTTATTTACCTTACTGCAGGGGTATTTTGCCAAAATCCACTTGTACAGTCATTGTTCGTTTGCTTCGTGCAACTATTTAGGCACTTGGAACAAATTTATGGTTCCATATTATTGTAACATGTATTAACTTAGACATCAACTCAGTTTATCAATGTTCTTATAGGTGATATTACTGATAAAGTTTTGGTCAGTGTAATCAGAGAGATCATGTTATTTATTTATTTTGATTACAGATCAGTCAAAAATATCTTGTAATTTTATGAAGATTGCGCATAAACATGGGAGGAATATCCACCAAAATAGCGTTTGAAGTGTGTGTGGTAACAGGGGACTACAGTGGCGATGAATTAGGTCCTGGAGTTAACATGGTCATGTTTGATCACTGTGGTAATCAGTCACCAACAATTACTTTGGATAATATATTTCAAAATGATATTGACTATACACAAGCAAAATTCACCATTGATTTACAGGCCTGGAGTCGACTTAAAGTAAATCATGATTTACACGATATTGATCACTTTGTAATGTAGGTGTTTAAACGACTACACCATATCGAATTTTGGTGTACTACTCAGTCTTATCCACCACCTGCTTGGTTTTTAGATAGAGTGATTATTAGGGATAGAAGATTTGGGATGACTGCTGAATGGAAATATTTTTTCTTTCCTGTACATCAGTGGATTAGTCAAGACCACCAATATGTTGTTCATGACTGTGAGGCCTGGATTCCTCAATTGGAACCCTTTCCAGAGTTAAGAGAAGAGGAAGTTAGTAGACGTATGCAATTTTTTACTTTATTCCAACGCTCAAAGGGTTTGCCAGTCGAAGTGAGTTGGTATATAATTTAGTCTTACCTGTTATCAATTAGTTACAAGAAATCCCACCTTCGGAGTTGTTCTCATCAGACTCTCGAGTAAGTGATAATCATGGTTATTTAAAATAAATATCTAGTGGGATATTGAGCCTTTAGTTCTGGAAGTTATTGAACGTACTGGTCTGGCTGAAGAATACACAAGTGAAGAGTCTTGGGATTCTCTCGACACACTGGGAAACTTCTATAAGAAATATAATATTACTGAACCTGTGGTGAGTAAATTTTATTTAACCAAATATTGCGTGAATTTTAAAATTTGACCAAAACATAATAAATTCATGGATTTTACACAAGAATGTTGATTCAGATCTTTCGTGAACTTTCATCCAGAAATTAAAGGGTCGAATAAAAGTGAAGTTGCAAATAAGACAAAAAGAATATCTGTTTGATTTTGTAACCAATTGTAATACAAACTTTATAGAGAAAGAAAACTTGTTTCAACAGATATCATTCCATCACAATCTCTACGTGCACATAAATGATAATTTGATCAGATTAAATGGAAGCTAGGGGTCGCCAAATGAAGACATGAAACCTCTAACTGTTAGTCTAAATTATGTCGTTAAGTGCAGAGTACCTGAATGTAGGAGACCTTAGTTGACAAGAGTTTAAATCTATTGCGGTGACACAGATACATCCATTCTTTATCTTTCTTCTGAGCTTCAGTTTCATTCTTTTTCCATACACTTCTTCACATTCATCTTTTTTCGAACCTTATTATCTATGCTCAGTAATTTTTTTCCAATCGCTGATACTAGGATGACCACGCTGATGTGGTGTGGTACCTGGGGTGAGGCACGTTTGTGTCAGGTGTTACGTTGTTTACGAATAAATGGCTAATTAATGTGTGTGTTTAGCGGTGTAAAAGACGTTTTGGTTTAGGTTGAGACTATTCAACTTTGTTTAGATATAAAGTCGCATACTTGTTTGTTAGATATATTGCAGGTTAGATTATTAATCTCAGCGAGAATTAGTAAACGTTTGTCCCAGTTATTCACGGAGTCGGATTTTATAGTTTGTAAGTCGTGTAATTATTTTATCTATTTCACTAAGTACGTACTCAGTTTCATTTAATCGTTTTCGGATTTATAAAATTCTGATTTTTCGCAGAGTTTACAATTTTGGATGATGAATGATATTTGCTTTGGTGCACAACGTATTCGTGGATGTAATCCATTCACTATTCAAGTCTGTCGTACATTACCAAAAAGGCGAGCAATTTTTTTTCTTAACTCTTTATTACGAACCATCAGTTTACTACCATTTATTTGAGTATTAATAGTTTTGGTTAAATTCCTCAGATTAATTGTGTACAAACTAATTCGGCTAACCCGTCTATATCATACGAAAAGTTTGAGTGAAAGAACTTGTGACTGATCACTTGATTTCCAGGTTGCATTTTATGTTATGCGTTCTTGAAAGACGTTACGTCCGCGTCAGCAAAACTATTGTTTCAAGCTAATTTACCTCTACTGTACTCTTTCACGTTGTTGATCGGTGTGATTTATATAAAACCACTGATATTGACTAGTAGTATGTGTGGTTAGTTTGTTTTAATAATTGTGTAGTAAAGTGGGAGCAATGAAAATAAGCGTTCACAACAAATCCGAACGTTGTAAATGTTAAAATAACCGGACGAATACAGTTGCTTAGAAACAATGGATGGTAGTACTCCTAATATATTTGTGTTCATCAACAAATATTAGTGAAACATCACGTCATAATCATAAAGCTTTATTTTTGGATATAGATTATGAGTGTTAGAGATTCATCTTCATTATTTTGATCCCTGTCAAGGGGATATATTGTTGCCCTCCTTTATTTACTAACAGCCCTTAGTTTCTGTAGATGTTTGCATTGTCGCTAGTTTTTTATTTCTTAGTACGTCTAAAAACATGAATTAGTTAGATACATTATGTAATCAAATGGAAAAAAATGGTATTCGAAAGGATTTGATTCTTGTGAGTTTGTCCTACTCCCGTTGTTGTTACTTTGCTGTGAATTTCGCCTACCCACATAACCCTGAGTCCTTTAACGCAGATATTGTGTATGCTGAAGGTTGATTACTAACCTTAAATTCATACGTTCCTAAACTACCCAATCATCTTTTATTTTTTGTATCATTCAAGCTCAGAACATTTTGTGATTATATAAATGAAATACGAGTCTACAATGCGCCACAAATAATGAATCTGAATTGGTACATTTCATGTGATGCATGATAAATGGTTAAGTACTAGTGTCATAGTTAATTCATCAATTTATAAACGATAAGAGATATCGCATGCTCAACGATAGCCTACCTCGTCAGGTGATGTTTAATGGTGTAGGACTAGGCTGGAAGAAAGCCAGGGGCGACCAAATCGAAATATGGCACCAGTTCGTGAAGTAACTGACACTTGAACTGAGCCATGTTAATAAGTGTAGACTACCTGGTTGGAGTCCACGTGATTATCGTAACCAGTGGTTAGAGTCTGCGAGTTACATTTCTCGAAATCGTTTTCAGTGGCCCAGGCGTATCCCTTCTTTGTCTTCCTCTAATTTCCAAGCTTTTGAATCCATAATTTTTCTTGAATCTTATCTTTTATGTCTCATCGTTTCCATCACCACTCATACTGTCACTACCTCTACTGATGTGGGATTTGTCCTGGCAATTTCATCTTGCTGTGCCAGTGGAGTACGGCAATTCAAACTGATGTGGATACGTACCAGGTTCTGTGTTGTGACTGACTGATCGCAACGGTCAATCAGTCAAATAAAATTTTACAACTAGAAGAATATGAAAATATCACTAACCAATTGTTTAAAAGGTATTTATAAAATAAGAAACTAGCTCCCCAAAAATAAGTTTCCAAAGCTTCACCTTTTTATTTCCTCTCTCAGCTCCAACAGCGATCACTAATCTAAATCTTGTTCCACGGTTTTTTCATCATAATTGTATCGACTGATATTTTCTTAAAACAACATTTTATCATGATCGAACTAATGTAATAATCAAATTGAGACAGTTCTTTAAAAACACCGTGGATCCTTTCTTCTGGATTGTGACTTCCTGTACTTGTTTAAAAGAAATTAAAGCATCAATCCATAAAATGTTGTCATCATTTAAGGCTTCATTAACTACTTGTTCTAATGCGTGGAAATTAGTCCATTTTAACTTATAAAAATGATGAAAAAGTCTGTATGTAGTATTCATCTGAATGTATTCTATTATCCAAACAGTTGGTACTTCTGATGAGTATTTTGCAAACAATTTCGCAACCAGATTTTTAAAAATCTTATATTCATTATTGTTTCATTGGTTTCTGCTAGTCATAAGTAGTACCATATCAAAAAAATATATTTAGTTATCAGTATATATATATATATATATATAATTTAAGTATCCATCGAGTGATGAATTTATTGTGTGAATAAATAAATGATTAGGGAATAGGACGATTAGGGCAATTATCCCTTCTCTCTTCAAATTGATTAATTTATATATTTTTGTTACTTAATTTTGTGCTTAAATTAATTGTAGTTTTGAAATGGTAGCAAATTCACTGAAACCTCATTTAGAAGGTTGGACACTACGTCAAATGGTATCAGCTAATCGTTTGTACTTACTTGATTTTCATATAATGCAAGGACTTAGTTGTAAACGTGGTCGAGAATTATGTGCACCATTAGCTATCTTTTTTTATACTGAAAAGAGACAATTAAAGCCAATTGCGATTCAATTGAATCGTAATTCGAATGATGGAAGTGGGGTAAGCATTATAGTTCAAATTTATAATTCCCAATATTTTACAGGTTATTAAAATTTGAAGTTGGTATACATCTATTATTTTGAGTGATTGTCGTACAGTTACGATAGGGCACTAGGCTGATAGAATGTTTATTATAAGAAATTAAAGTGTTTATATAGTACACATACATAGACTTCGATCATCCTTTTGCATCTTGTGGTGTATTCTGCGATCCGAACTGTCTTCACATCTGGCTTTCAAGTGTTCTGTATACTCTGTGCTTTCGATGTACTGAAACTCTTCCCTCCGTCTGACGACTGATGGTCTCGATATCACTTTCAGCTATATACTCCCTACAAGCGGTCTTTTGAGTGGGGTTCACCCCAAAAAAATACCAGTTTGGTAAAGAAGTGTATTGTTGAATAATTTATTGAACTTCCAGATCGGTTATCTCAACAACCATACCATATTTAGCAATAACGATATCTAATTTCTTGATCATTCGCATAATTACAGTCACTTCATGAGGTGTACTACTGTATCACTCGGAGAAATGTTTATGATTTTCAATATGTGGTTGTGGAGACTGTTGGATCCCATTGAAATCGTGAACCGATGAATGTAAAATTTGAGTGTTCGCGCGAGATCGAAGGTATAGGTTCAATTCCTGTGTGCGGGATCATGAATGCTCACTGCTGAGGAGTCTCATACTAAGACAAGACGATTTTCCAGTACTCCTAGATTTTAATTGATGGTCTAACATTGATCTGGTCATGATTTCAATGAAATGTTGACGATTTCATGAAATAGTATTAAAGTATTTCTTAGACTGAAATGATTCTTCAGAGATTAAAAGATTATCCTCTGATGATAACTAAAATAATCTTAGGTGGTTTCCGGACTTACTCGATACCAATGTTTTAAATGGCTTCCTTTGTCCAGTCATCCAAATTTGTATAAATGTAAAAAAACCATATAGATATATGGATATTCATAATACCAGATATCTGTACCCAACCGAATAGTTAACCATTACAAAAAATCTACCCGTAGTTTCAAGTACAAACTTTGTATCTATGTTATCGCTATAAAGTATAAGTCGATACTTCTGGGCGGGAGCAACCGTGTTTCAAAACCCGGAGTGTGTTTCAAAAACCCTTGGAACACACTTCCATAACACTGTTCCATAGTGTTGTACTTAGCTATTATAATTCGTTTGCAACTATTGTTTGCAAATTCAAATAATATCTTTGTTCACTTGCAAATTTCATATTACTATTATGCTACTCTAGAGATCCGATATAAATTTTGACTAATATTTTTCTGTAGTGTTGCGTTCGAAATACAGTGTACTGTAGAATTAGTAAAGTAAGTTGAAAGGTGACATTCTGTAATAATTTAATCTACTGCACTGGAATGAAACAAAAAATGATGAATGTAGTTGAATTATATGAATTCATTTATTTCATAGATTCTCTTCAACTGTTTATAACCTAAAAACAATATAATAATTATTTATAACCAATTTACATACTTCTAATCATATTAATGAAGACGAGAAAAACATTAAAAAATCACAAAAATATTCACAGGATAATTCCTGTGAAAATCCAAGGAGAAAAAAATAAAAAAAACACTTGGCGATGAATTCTTAGAAAATGAAAATTGATACCAAAAGCTACGCGGTAGATAAATTTACAGAATAAAATGAATAGAAAGCAAAAAGTGAAGCAGTAATGAACAGAAGGAATTTACGATTGAATGGATGAAATAAAATGTTGTGCAACTAAATATTTGAGACTGAACTCACTGGGGCAATGTGAGACTGATGATTATATCTTATTTAAGTTTAACTTCAACCTTTTAATATCTATGACATGAACAAAATATAATATGCTCGAAATTGTCCTCATATTGATAAATTTGATTGCTCTCGCATTCTTGCGATTATTAGTTAACCAAATGAGTTCGATCACTTATCATTTCATCCACCGGAAGCCTATATCTTTGGTTAAGTAAATTTACTAGGTGTCCACAAAATCCGTATTATTAGATTTTCAAAACTCACTAGGTTTTCAGGTGATTCTAAAGTGTATAAAGTGATAGGTTTATTGAGTACTATCGTAATATTATTGACGGAACTATAATAGAAGCTCATTTCAGTCTAATATAACTGTGTTAGTTTAATCCTATTATTAGGCAAAGCAAAATAAAACAACCTATCCCAAAACATGGTATTTTTTCAGTTGATGGAACCTGTAGAGCACTTGTTTGTATTTTACTACTGTTAATGTTTTCTTTGAAATATGATCAAAAAATTAGATATTATTCTTTACTTTATGTTCTCTTTGAGTATAAATCTTATATATTTACATATGCCTCAGTAATAGTAGTAACAGCTTTTTTTCAAGTTATGACTTGTACTATTAACAAAACATAATATTTTTATCTTAGATCATTCTTCCAACTGATCCAACTTCAATATGGTTACAAGCAAAATTATGGGTTAATCTTGCTGATGCCTGTCATCATATGATTGTTGGTCGATTGTTAACTCATTTAATATTGGAATCAATTTATGTGTCATTACGACGTAATGTATCACAATCACATCCAATATATCATTTGGTTGCACCACATTTCCGCAGTATCCTACCTGTAACAAAGTAAATTCTATTTTTATAGAGTTCATGTTGAAAGCTGGAGTACTAAGTATAATTCATTCTTGCATACTAATATAATCTACAATAATTCTTGCGAAAACAGACAATTATATCCAGTATTCCTAGGTTTTCAATGTTAATCTAACCTAGATCTGTTCATGATTTCAATGAGGTTATGTTTCAGTTTGAATAGCGGTTTTCTGCATTTAAGCAGATTATGTTACTCATAGAAGAATCGCAACACGTATTCTACTGTATTTCAGTTGTGATATTACTGTCATCTGTAGTAGGACACACAACAATAGTTTGAAATCAGAAACAGATTGTTATTGTGGTGTATGCTATTTATGCTGACAGATATAAGTAGTATGTAGCCGTAATCGGAAGTGGAATGCCTGGCAGCAGAAGATTGAATTGAAGAGAACAGAAAGGAAATCGGAGAGCCATCTAAATAACAACAGAATTAGAGGAATAGTGGAGTAGGTAAAGACAACACAAAGAAGTATGCAAATGATGTACTTAGTGTATGACTTTCATATTTTACTTATCTCTGTGTGATTTTGCATTAAACAATAAATTAGTCCTCTCCAGCTTATTCATTACTTCATATAATATATCGTGTAATTTCATGGCGACATTGTATTTCTTCATCAGCGAAATTCAAATAGCACTCACATTTGGAATAATTAAATTGTGAATTGTAAATTTCCCCGTAACGATCTTCTCTATTTATTCAATACAATACGGTATTTTATTTAGTTTCATAATAGCAATAATAACATTATTATTATTGTTATTATTATTATTATTACTAACGCGATAATAACTTCCACAGTTTTGTGATTATGGTCATATTGTTGACTCATTTAGCTTATACATTTCCATGATTCCATAAGTTTCTACTGATTAATTGTATAATATCCTTATTCTTTTCCGTTAACTAATATGTTGATGGCTTTCTAAGGTCTAGGTTAGATAAAAACGTCAGCTAGGTGTACGTCGTATGTTTACACATATTTTGTTGCTTATAATGAATATGTATGCCATATTACTGTTTTGGTTTATTGAACTCCTTTCATATAAATCTTAAATTATAACTCATAGTTTTTATAATAAATATTTTACTTGTTAAATTGAAGGAAATTAAAAGAGTGGACATTTGAAAATGGATGGATATCTCGTAATATTCAATTGTCACGTAAAGGAATTAAACAGTTATTAAGACGAGCTTTTAAAAAATGGCGTTTTGATGTAAATGCAAATATTTATCGTGAACTAGAGTCAAGAGGAGTAAGTCTTGCGATTTTGTTTTATTTTAAGTGAATATATAATATCAACTATCGGGACTGTAATATAACTTGTGTTAAAGTAAGCTTTTATATTTTAGTGTTTTTCAAATACTTTAGTGTTTTTTAACTAATAGGTATCGTGATTGAATGATCTCTTTGTTAAAATTTCACTGATAGTATTATCTTATTCCGTATTTCAGATGCGGTAATACTTTATTCTGATATTCGACTTCGTCTAGCTATGTTATTTTGAAGTAAAACTTCTAACCTGTCAGGTTTTATGTGGTATCACTGATGGTATTATCAGGGGGATAGTTCAATACGAATCTCGTATTGTGCCTCATATGTTATTCACATTACTCAGTGTAAATATTAAACAGGGATAGCGTCATTAATTATCTGTTTTGTTTTATAAATCCAACTACTGTATCTATCATTCGCCATTTTATTTTGATATTTTCAGGTATTTGATCCAAATAGTTTAGGTAATTATCCATATCGTGAAGATGCTATACTTGTATATCATGCATTGGAACAGTTTATCTCAAGCTACGTTCGTCTATTTTACCGTAAGTATTATTTCTATTTTTTAGTTTCAATTTTTTTTATTCGTATTTTTGTTATTCTTTTCTTCTATCTGCGTACTCAGAATTTCATATACGGTGGATTTTGTGACGTAAAACAATGTGTGAGAAAGGTATTGCGTTGTTATAATATCGTTCATGTCCACATTATATAGTATGACCTATACCTAAAGTCTAGATGCTGATGATTATAAATGTCTACGTAGAATTAGGTGGACAGTTCATTATTTTATATTGTAACCGCAATATTGAAATCTGATTGTTCTGTAACAACGTATTGACTCCATTAATAATGATGAAAGAGCGAACGATGAATGAACCATGAAGGTACGTTCTGTATTTGATTTCATATATTTTAATTGAGCTATCCCCGTTCGGGCAACGGTGACAATAAAAATCCAAATACGAATTAAATTAGATGATTTTGTTTCAGACACTCACTCAGGCAGATTGTAAGATAAAAAGTGGAGTTCAGAGCTCATCTCCGCATCTTATCTTACAATCTGTCTGAGTGAATGTCTGAAACAAAATCATCTAATTTAATTCGTATTTGGATTTTTATTGTCACCGTCGCCCGAACGGGGATAGCTCAATTAAAATATATGAAATCAAACACAGAACGTATCTTCATGGTTCATTCCTTCATTATTCCCAACAGAGTCATTATGTTGCTCAGCTGACCAGCCCAAATGGGTTGGTGTCTGACCAAATCTCTACATGGATTCAGAAAGTTCGTTTGGCTTTTTCCAACTTACGTCACTTGTGGAGAAGGCGAGATATGCGTCTATCATTTAAGGGACGAGCATACTGCGCGGCAGTTCGTTCTGTTTTAATTTACGACTGAGAAACGTGGCCATTAAAAGTAGAAGATACTTGTGAGTTACTAGTATTTAATCACAGATATCTTAGAAATATTGCTCGCATCTGCTGGGATCACTGGGTATGTAATAGTGAGGTTAGACACATGGTATTAGGGAATGGTGGTAAATCAGTTGATGAGGTTGTAAATTTTAATCGACTGAGATGGTTGGGCCACGTGTTACGTATGACTGAACATCGATTACCACGACGCACAATGCTGACTAGTGTTGGAGACAGTTGAAAGAACGTTGGGGGTGATATGTTATCGTGTTTCCGCAGCTTTCGCAAGGCATGACAATAAGATTTTGTCATGATTTTGGATTAAAGGGCTGGCTTGTTTTTGTACGAGTGTACTATTACTGATAATCATGAAAGAAATATATCAAACTATAAACGTTAGCACTTTATTTAGAAGTTTTAAGTCTTAGAGATTTCTGATTGCTCGATGACTTGTCTTATTCATTGAATGGAATAGAAAACATTCTGTCTGCAGCACAATAAATGAATGTTAAACTCATCAAGTTAGAGGACTGGTGTTCCGAGCGACATTATTTCTGCGACGAAGTTCTTTTACATGCTAAAGAAGCTTAGTGATGCACTGTAGCATATTGGATTCAATTGATTTCTAAATGCAAATAACTGAAGTCCTAATAGATTGATTTGTAACTCAGAATTAGTTACAATAATTTTAGGCTCAAAATTCTATGTTTATGACGTGTTTCGAGGATCTAGTAAGTAACTTAGATTCAGTTCTTGAAGTCACTAACTTCTAGTCTGAATTATGTCGGTAGGTGCAGACTACTTGGTTAGGGTTCGTGCGACTTGTTTCATTTTACTTATTCTTTTTGATCAATATACTCATTACGAACAACTGAAGTGGCTTTAGTTATATTATGAATATTCTACATCAACTCTTTGAATGTAGACTTATCTACTGGTTATCTAAAGGAGAACAATTCCTTGTTCTTCCGAAACGTAAATAAATCTAGTAGCAATAAGTTATTCGTGCTAGTGAATTACTGTCACTTTGGTACAATTAGTTTATAATGTTATTATGGTACAAGGAACAAACTAACTTCCAGTATATCTTGAATAACTTCCTAGAAAAATTTGTATGCCTGTACAATTACAGTGTGGTGCTTATTTTTTATAACTAACACATTGATACTCTACCTGACATGATTTCAGGTCTCATTTTTTAATGAGTTGTATAATATTTATGAAAAATGATTAATAATGAAGTGTTTATAGTAAAGGATCATGGCTAAACGAAACATCTTTGTCGAGAACTGACCACTCGTCTTAAGCATATCAGTTTGTGTTGTGAAGCGGATAGTACATTCTTTTTAATATGCCAACTTGGAATTTATTCTGAGATTGTTGTTTAGTCTGAAAAAAGAAATCATTTTCTTAGTGCGCTTACTAATATATTTGTTTATTTATATTACTTACTTACTTACGCCTGTCACTCCCATTGGCCGCTGATAAGCATTCTTCAACCCACTCTGTCCTCCGCCTTCCTTTCCAGTTCTATTCACTTTTTGTTCATTTTTCTCATGTTTGTCTCCATTTCTCGGTGTAATTTGTCCTTTGGCCTTGAGGATTCCATGTGAGGGCTTACTTTGTGAAGCAGTTGGGTGCTTTCCTCAATGTGTGTCCTATCCTTGTTTATTTACATATCTTTTAAAAATGCTTCATTTTTAAGGTATTTTTTTTATTGACTTAATTATTGAGTCTAACAAATCTGTTGGGATCGTCTAATTTTAATTTATAAGATCAATCCTTCGGAGTGAATTTACTACGAACAATGTTGTTTATTGAAAGCTTTGATGTTAAATAGAATGAAATTGAATTGGTTGTTAGCAGCATTTCCCAATGTATATGTACATTGAGTTGTCAAATGTGACTATAGTTTCTAGGGTAAATTTGTCGGTGGATTGTCAAGGATTAATCGAATCGTTCGGTTTTGTCTGAATGATTTACATCAGTTAGAGAAGCCAACATAAATTGGTTGGAACCAGTAGAGGTAGTAGTAGTTGTTGTAGTCAATTGTTTATTTCACTAATAGACTTGACGAAAGTTACAGTTGATCTCTCGGGAAAATCTGGTCGTAGGATTACCAATGTGTTAATGTAACATATTCAACGGGGAATGTGCCATCTTTTCTCGTAGCATAAGCAATCAATAGTGTAAGTTGACAATAAACCAAAAAAGTTGTTTATCCTAGCCTGATCTAGTTATTTTTTAGTGAAAATTATACTGTCATTAGGTTATCGATATGTTAAGTAAAAACTTCGGTTAATTATTTTGGGTAGTGAAATAAATTTAAATTTTCCCTTAATCCACACAGCTGGTGGGACTGAACAAATCATACACGATAATGAACTACAGTCTTGGCGACATGAAATTGCTAGTCCAATGGAAGAAGGTGGTTTAGGCCTAGTCGGTGTCCCTGGTAGTACGATAAAAGTGAGTGATTTATTGGCCTAATGTTTTATTTTCTTTCCTTTTTTGTATATTATGTTTTAATGACTAATAAGAATATACATTATTCGGAGTAACTTTTATTTATTGATTTAAACAAATAGGTCATTGAATTTATGTGTGAGCTGTGATATGGTTCGGATGCCCAAACCGAAGTAGTTAGTTTTATTAGGGAATCACTCTCCGAGTCTTTAACCTGAAGGTCCAATCCACAACGCGGCTGACCAACGTCCCATGTTAACCGGTGACCTACATCAGGTTCATACGCCATATATCTTCTCAGGATTGTGGAACCCATGTACACTAGTGGTATGGGGTCAGGGTTTTCCAGCTCCATTAGGTGGATTCTTTTTACCGACCAGTCTGTTTCAAGAGCCAGACATTTACTTTTCGTCCTCTCAACTTTGTGAACAACCCCTCATCCACGAGAAAGTAGAGAGTAGGACTCCACTGGCAGTGGTTATATACGCGTGGTCATATAAGAGCATTCGGGGAAAGAGAGTAGACTCCTCACCGTAGACCATGCCTGGACATTTGAAAGCCTCGAAGTAAAGTACTTACGGTAATATAAAAAGTTCTTATACACATATACAGTTGTAAAAGTTTTAATCCATCTGTGTAGTGTACGTTTAATAAAACCAGCGGTTTTTCGTATTTCCAGTAAAATATTGATTAACCTTGATGCCCGTCTGTTGTGTAGCTTGTTTTTCATTTGTTTATGCTTTATGTTTCCTAATGAGTGTTCGTACTTATTTATAGTCTGGCTAACTTCATACTCTTTGGCGGTTCATAAAACATATAAATGTTTTTATTTATAATAGCCAATCAACATAAACCACTATAAATCACTATATGAGTTCTGATTCATGGTTATTATTCGGTCTGTTTTCCGAATAACGCTTCTCATTACACCTGTTACCACTCGTGTGGCATAGATCGCTGACTGGGAACCTTTAACATACTCTGTCATAAGCTCTCCTTTCCAGTTGTTGCTAAGCAATAACACTGTTGTGTATGCTACTTATGCTGACAGATAAAAGCAGTACGTAGCCGTAATCAGAAGTGGAATGCCTGGCAGCAGAAGATTGAATTGAAGTTGCTACCTTGACGCGGTGGTCAGGCTTGCCTATCGTGATAAAGCAACCGAGCTATACTGGCTGAAACAACCGCTACTCACGGTACTACCATGTCAGACAGGTCGGTTGAAGAGCGGTAAGACTAAAAGCAACAAACCCAAGGTGCGAAGTCGTACTGCTGACTGTACAGAGGTGTGACAGCAGTAAGGTGTTTCCTTCAGACAACCAGCATGACAGAGATGCTGCCTTCCCACAAGGAGGTGTGGGGTTAGAAAAGGTCGACCCTAAAAATGTCACACCTCACCTTACCTCACGGATTTCCGTCTCCGGCGGTAAGGCTTTTTGAAGAACGGAGCTAAGACATTAAAAACCTTCCACGAAAAGGCCGTGCGCGACCGGCCTCAAGCAGTTGTCCCTTGGGCTCTGCGGTCACGCTCACAGGTCGTTAAGACCAACAATAATCCGACTTCTTTATCAAGTTCCTCAAGAAATACCCTTCCACGGTGTGGGCAGCCGGGAAGTGATATCAACCCTCATACCCGTAACAGCACACGAGACCAAGTTGGTCACATTCAAATCCTTCCTACACCTCCTAATACCTCTCTTATCTCCATGACTAACCCTCCTCACGTCTCTTTATCACCTCACACCGCTAGGGCAAACGACTCGAGTACGCGGAACGCTATTCCTGGTCTCTTGGAACCACGCTCCAATCTACACGTAGGAGCTCTTAACGTCTGAACACTGTGCCAAATAGGACAGCAGGCTTCCTTAGCTAGGACTTTAGAATTTCGCGCCATCGATGTGTGCTGCGTCTCCGAAACGCGCATACAGGATCCGAGTAGCGTCATTCATTTGATCTCACCATGCCCAAATAAAGAACCGACTCGATTCACACTTCGTGTATCTGGAAGCCCTGATTCTATTTCACGTGGCCTCGCCGGCGTAGGTGTAGCATTGATTACTATGGCAGAACTAGCTCTCTTAGAGTGGATCCCAGTAGACAGTCGTTTGTGCGCTGTCCGACTAGACGGAACTGTAAGGATCCGAAAAGATAGGGACACTTGTCGTTGCCTCTTCGTCCTCTCTGCCTATTCTCCCACTGACTGCAGCGCAGATGATGTAAAAGATGAGTTTTACAGAAAGCCCTCCGACCTCCGAAGAGCTAGGCGCTCTGATGTAGTAATAAAGGCCGGTGACTTTAATGCTCAAGTAGGTAATCTAAGCGATAGGGAAAGACACCTGTGTAGATCTTATTGCATTGTGGCTCAAAGAACAGATAATGGTGACCGTCTGTTGCAGCTATGCTCAGATAACCGTCTGTTCCTTGCAAATACTAACTTTAAGCATAAGGAAAAACATCTTTTGACATGGCGACCCCCTAATTCGTCTCAACGTTTGACCCAAATAGATCACATCGCTATCAGCCACCGATGGAGGGGCTCGATACAAGACTGTCGCTCATTCTGGAGCACATGCTTAGATTCAGATCATGCTCTAGTACGAGCGCGTATTTGCCTGCGTCTTGCTGGACGTAAGAAAAACGCTGCAAGTAAACCGCTTAGGGGCCTACGTAATGATAGTCAAGCAAAGAGTATATTTCAGGAACAACTAGAAACACAGTTAGGCAGCCATGTATGTGATGCCCACCCCGAGGCAGCATGGAATGATATCCGAAAAGCTGTGGAAACAGCAGTGATATCTGCTGGTAAGGTAACCCGTAAAGTTAGGGAGCAACACTGGATCTCAGCAGCATCTATCGCACTGATAGATGCTCGAGAACTCATTCCACCTGGCTCTGAACATAATGAAAAGCGGAGTCAGCTTAAGCGCAAGCTGACACGAAGTCTACGCAATGATCATGAACAGTGGTGGGTAGCGAAAGCAAGAGAGATGGAAAAGGCAGCGGCAATAGGTAATAGCAGACAATTGTTCAGACTCGTTAAGGAAACCGGAATTAGGAAACCGACTGTTAGCGAAACACTCTCAGAGAAAGATGGACATATTATACATTCTCAATCCAGGAGATTGGATCGATGGGCAGAACACTTCAGGGATCAGTTCAACTGGCCTTCAGCCACACTTCGGTTTCCCACGATCTCCAGTCAACTTGAATGGCAAGTAAATGTAGGTCCTCCGTCCCTTTACGAAGTTGAGAAAGCCATAGGAAATGTGAAGCGAGGGAGTGTAGCAGGCCCTGACAGGTTCCCTCCTGAGATGGTGGTTCAGTATTAGAGGACAAAAGTCCTCTTGTGACAATCACAGAGGAATCAGTTTGACAAATATAGTATCTAAAATAATAGCTTCAATAATACTTCGACGCCTAACTAAAGCTCGTGAAGAGCAGACTAGAGAAAATCAGGCTGGTTTTCGACCTGGACGTTGTTGTATAGACCAGATATTCACACTACGTCAGGTTCTAGAACACAGACACATGTTTAGACGCTCGACTAGCTTTTGCCAACTTGCGTCATTTATGGCGTAGGCGAGATATCCGTCTATAAACCAAAGGACTGGTTTACTGAGCAGCAGTTTGTTCCGTCCTACTTTATGGCAGTGAAACATGGCCGGTAAGAGTAGATGATATCCGTAGGTTACTGGTATTTGACCATAGGTGTCTTCGAAATATTGCTCGTATATCCTGGGATCATCGAGTAAGTAATGCAGTTGTTAGGAAACGGGTACTAGGTAAGGATGGCAAATCAATTGATAACGTAGTGAAACTTCATCAGTTGAGATGGCTGGGACTCGTGTTACGTATGCCCAACCATCGACTGCCTCGACGTGCGATGTTCAGTGGTATAGGCGTAGGTTGGAAGAAAGCTATGGGCGGCCGGACCAAAACATGGCACAGGTCCATGAATTCTCTAACAAGTGGACTGAGTCATGTTGGTAGGTGTAGACTACCTGGTTGGGGACCGCGAGACGATAGCAACCGATGGTTAGAGACCCTGAATGACATGGCTCAAAATCGTTTACAATGGCTCAAGTGTATCTCCTCTTTGTGTTCTCCCAAATTCTAATATTCTGAATTCTTCATGTCCTGTTTTTTCTCTATCTAAATTTATTTCACTGGATTATACTCCTTGAATAACATCTTCAAATCCTAGCCTTACCGATTACTGCTTATACTCTTACTACCTCTACTACTATGGGATTTGAATCGATAACTGCATCTCTGTGCTAATGTGGTGTGGCAACTCGGACTGATGTACGTACGTACGAAGTTATACGTTGTTACTGACTGGCTGAATTGAAGAGAGCAGAAAGGAAATTGGAGAGCTATCAAAATAACAACAATTAGAGGAATAGTGGAGTAGGTAAAGATAACACAAAGAAGTATGCAAATGATGTACTTAGTGCATGATTTTCATATTTTACTTATCTCTGTGTGATTTCGCATTAAACAATAACTTGGTTTTCCCTAACTGAGTTCTCACTTCAACATTAGTCCGTCTAAGTTTTAATTGCTGATAAAGCTTTTTATTTTAAGTAATAACTAGTTATGTAGCTGACTGACATCTGTAGCTGATAAGTGTCAACAATCAGAAAATCTTAATGCAAATGGCCATTTCAATTTTTCCCAAATATGTATTACTTCAATGAATTTGTATCTGATAGAGGTTGTGAAATATAATCTCTTATATATACATTCAGATATAAATCACTGAACACAAATAATGAATAATAGCTCTTATTTTATTTCCTATCTCCTTATAATTAATTGATAAATTCAATTTCATATTCATTTCCATCCTATGTAGCTTCGTACGAATTCTGGACCAGAAGATTATCTACAAGATAATGTTACAGAAGAAATATTTGGTTTAAATACGGTTGAAGAAGTGGCCAAATTTCTAATGGGAATTCTTTATCTTGGTATTATTGTTACTGGTTCAGCGCTTCGATTGCCAATGTTTGATGAGTATGGCTTTCCAGCACAATATCCGTTAAGTTTATTTGGTTCTCCTCCTTTAGATAGAAATACATTTTGTAAGTTTATCTGTACAAATTGTTTATCTGAAGAAAATGAGAGGATAATTGTCGAGATTTTTTAGTTGAATGTAGTCGATGATTAAAGTTACTTTCAGATTAAACAAAACACTCAGTCAAATAAATTGTAGTTTTATCAATTAGATTATTTCTTCGAAGTCATAAGTCAAGTACACTCTTCTGATATTTCTACGTTTCCTTAAAATGTAAGGTACTGGGAAAAGGATAATTCTCTCCATAATCAGTAGTATTCGTTGTAATTGTATCAATTTACTTGGCGATTTAAAAAAAATGCAAATTTTAACCGTAAGACAAATTAATGTCTACAAAGTTTTATGTGTGAGGTACTGAAAACCTCTGCATTTAGTGTACCAATATTTCTGGAATTAATCAAATAACTGATGTCATTATTTATAATTCGAAGATTATTTTGTAGAGGAGTCCAGATTCCTCTAACTAAAGTTCTACTACTGTTTATGACAACAATCATTGGCCATCTGTATCAATACCTTCGTAAATTAAAAGTGTTTCTGAAACTTATTTATGTAGTCGTTCATAAGTCAACAAATTGGTTCTCACTACTTTTGTATCGAGTATACCCTCAACCTCTGACGAGCTCTTGTTTTTTAAAAGGCTTTAATTTCGTCGTATTAATAATAAAATCATATAGATCGGTGACAATGCCAATCCTGTAAATAGTTCTACTTGAAATATATTAAATCAGTCATCTGAATATATAAGATGTTTATGAATTTTACAGTTGGTTTCACTTGCTTTGCTCTTACTTATTTTCTTTGAAATTTTTCTCATGTAGCCGATGGTACTTTGAATGGTGCACATGGCAGTGTGTTTAGCTTTTCAAATGTACAAGGTCTTGATCGTGTATTGGCTTCACTGCCCAATCGTCAAATGACAGTAGAAACTGTTCTCTACACTAGATTGGCTAGTCGAGTTCAACAATCTGTTTTAGGTCAATTTGAATCGGATTTCATATTTAAAAAGAAAGCAGTTGTTCTATTAGATCAGTAAGTTGTGTCATATGATACGAAATCCATCATTTTAATTAGATGCTTGTGATAGATTCGATTTCACTCATATTTATTGAGTCCGTTTCTTTTTTCTAAATAAATTCTTTAATATAACTACACAATTGATAGGATTAGAAAATTTGCAGATCTTTTAATGCTTAATTATTGACTGGAAATTTTCGAACAACTAATACTATAAGTAAACATTTTTGTACAGTCTCGAAATCATAATTTTGTGAGTTTATCGAACACTTCGCGTAAAAGTAGAGAACTTCAGTTAATGATTTGCTATGATTGCCTCTAGCTCTTGTTCACATCGAAAATAGTGTCTGATGATTTCATATAACTTCTTGTCATCATTTTGAGGTGCTGTTATGCTTTTTTTTGTTGGAAACTGTTGTTATTCTCTCTTATTACAACCCAGCTATTCCTTTTGCTTAGTATTCTCGGACACCGATTCACTCGACAAGTTTCCAAATCAGAACACGGTTGAATAGGTTAGATGGAAGTAAGAAGCACAATAGGAAAAACGTTAGTAGATTTTTAGTTTTTACATGAGAAGATTCTAGAGTGTCCTGCAAGTATCTACTTGCGCTGATCGGATAAGAAGTAGCCAATCAGCGTGTACCAACGCAGTCGTGCATTGATCATGCTTTAATCCAATCTATGTCCCGCTAGCAGAAACATTTGCGAAAATTAATTCATGAACCCAGTAAACTGTTGTAAGTTCATCCTATCGGGATAATTATTTCTAATTACAAAAGTTCTGCAACAGTTAAAAACATCGTTCAAACAAAAGGTAAACCATTTCTTTAGAGATAAAACTTGACGTAGCTTATTTCGCTGTACTAGTAAGTAATTCACAGTTTCAAAATCTGCTCTCTATAATAAAGTTGTTTGATAATTGATTAGTATAGTTGTCTATGCTAATCAACATGTATACCATTTGTATGTATTTTACACTACGTACAATTGAGATGCTTGCTGTACTCTTACCAATAGACTATGTTGTAAGGGACCTACATGCATATGCATTAACATAGAGAAAATTGTCCCGACACAACCTATAGATCTAGACTCAATTTCTCTAGCACTCTTCTACACCTCTTACTAAAATTATTCAGTCAAAGAATGTTTTGTTCTAGCTTAAGCGTTGATAATCTTCCTTTTCGTTTTTGTCTATCTGAGTAAGGTCACTAAGTGAGTAGGAAAGAGTAGTGTTCATATGCCTCCATGCATTTCTGTTTAATTTTTTTGTCTGTATGTGCCAAACGATGTATTCACCTATTTTTGGTATATTTGACATTAGGTTTTTCATAATCACAAGAAGCTGGCATTTATAATATATTTTGTAAACGCTAATTTCTTTAGTTTGTAAACCTTAACATCCACGCGATCATTTATTTATATAAATTAAAATTTATGGTGGCTCTTTTGTATATTTATTACTATACAGACGTATCCTTGAAAAATCAAGTGAAATTTATGACCTCAAAAATTGCTCATCATTTTAACCTGTATTAAGCACAAGAAATCTGTGTAAATAATTCAACTACTTGTGTTAACTTGGTTTCAAGTAACCAATTAGAATTCAAAGTAATTTTTGCACAGGAAATATTAACTATCTAGTACTGTTTAGTAGCTAACTTAGTAATTGCTAGTCATTAAACTTCACCATTAGTCCTATCGTATAGTGATAGTAGTGCAACGATGACGGTGATCCAATTCAAAGATTAATCTGCTGAGGTACTTGAACCTCTCTTCTTTACACCGACTGATTGTTGTTATGTACAGATTGCCGTAGTATCTCATTACTTGTTTACTTTTGTCTTCAATTACGTGTTGGGTTCCGAATGTTGTCACAGGGATTTCTCTTGTCGGTGGTTTTTCCACTCGAGTTGTTCAGTTATTCATTATTTCTACTTTAATTGGTTTGACAAGACAAATAAATTTCATCATCAGTGGAATATTTCATGCTATACAAATTTTTACTTTTGCCACACATTTGTGAAATTATTCACTTTGAAACCACATTCTTGTAAATTTGTGTGTAATTTCAGCGTCAACGAGAGTTGCGCTCATTATCAATCGTTTTATTTCTACCTTTATAGATTTCGTCATGACTTGGAAGATGTGGCTAGACAGATCGATATAAATAACAGTGCTCGTGATATGCATCATCAGTATCGAGCTTTAGATCCTTCACTGATGCCTAATTATCCAGGAATTTGATTGATGATCAACGATACATATATAGTTTTTTTTAAAATATGTGTACAAAATAATTGAAACATTTTTGTCGAATGTTAAACAAATCAGTGCAAATGAAATACATATCCTTGATCCCCTCTATTATTGTGCATTCTTTATCATGATTCATACTAAATTCTTATTTATAATCACTTACTGTATTCATAATCTGTGGTCACTTCACTATGATTTACTCTTAAAATTGTCTTCCAGTAATTTTTCTGTTTACTTTATTTAATAATATTATTTCTTTTGACGTTCTCTTTTATTTTATTTCATTTGTATCTATTTATTACTTCATGAATACATACCTAGTCGAGTTTTATTCATCATTAAAACTATCCTTTATTATGATGTAGCGTAGAATGTCTGTGATTAATATTGAAAAGTAATTCTAGTGTGTATAATCAAAACTAGTTCATATAAAATTCATATCAGTCAATTACTTAATATTCTTTTACAAAGAAAAGTATTATTTTTTATCATTTACACTTTTATGTTTAATGTTGCTTATACATAAGTCTAATGTAGACTATATTGTACCTCCTTTGTCTTATTCAATTACATAACATATCAATATTATTTTATTCTATTATTCATTATTATCAAACACATTGTTGTTATTTTTAAATGAACCACTTTCTCACACTTTCCTCTCCATTTTCAATTTCGTGGGCTTTTTTTTATTTATTACAACGATTAGTTTATTGGTAATATCCGATATCAGTAGTTTTGACAGTTTTAGTTTTGTTGACATTACCAGTAAAGAGAATAATAATGTCAGATTGTTTTTTTAAAGTGATTTTATAAACGCACTTTAGTAAATTTTTATAAATAATTATAATATAGAAATTATTTGCACTTAATCCTTCACCTTCTTATTGTTGCTTTATTGAATGTTTGTTACTTTTTTTCCGGCTGAGTGTATATAACAAATAATAAATGATTTAAAAGAAAGTTGATTGGTTACAGACAATGCAGTTGTGTTTTGTCTATTGTTTATCATGTTTAGTGATGATTAGATTTTAGACTTCATATGCGTTTCAGTTTATTTCACATTTTACTAGACATTGATAATCGTTTAATTAACTAGTTTATAGGATCTTTATATTCCTCCTGTGGTGTATATCTGTCGACAAAAGTAGTATGTGGTACCAATCGGTAGTAGAAAACCGGGAAGCAGAAGGCTATGAAGATCGACTTGAAGAAAAAAGAAACGGAAATAATCGTGACTTGGGAGAATCATACAGAATTTGAATGATAAATGATGGATTTAAATACATTGGTTGTCCCCATCTGCATTCTCGTTCAGTACACTCCTTCTTTGGACAGCATAGATTATCAAGAGTATTTATTGTTTTCAATTCATGAAAATGTTTGAATTACCTACTACTATTTGATACCTAAAGCATGTTTGGAACAACTTTGTAGTGAGATAGGTTTTAGGTATTCTTAAACTCTGTCTCAGTACTATGAACTTGAATGTTTAACAGATTTGAACCCAAATCAGTTTGTCTTCTTTCAGTTTCTATGTTAAGCTTTTTTTTCTTTTTTAATACTTTTCTCGAATTTATTGACGTTTTATTTTCTTCGTTAGACTACCTTTTATACGTTCGTTAGTTCTTTTACTAATAATAAACATCAATAATCATCCATTATAATTCAATTGAATAATATTTACATTCTTTCTTGATGGAAATTTGCTAATTTTTAACGATTTTTTTTCATGTTAAAATGTATAAACATCTAGGTATGATGATTCAGTCAAATTCAACATTATGTTTAAAAAATTTCTACGGAGTATTTAATTCTTTATTACGACATGTTTCTACAACAGGATCTGTTAGTAACGTCAACAATCTTTTCAATTTCAAGTTAGTTTATTGATGTTCCATTATTACCCTTCTATGAATATGGTTGTTTCTTCTTGAATATTAGTCAATTTTTATATAATTTTTGTGCTATAAAATTATCATTCGGATAACGTAAAACCAATGATGATAAATAAAAGTATCTTAGTTGGCATAATGCAAGCGTTAAAATATGCAATGTATACTTCATTTTAATTGCGTCTATGTTACTATCAATACCTGTGTGTTATAACGTGTATTTGTTTATCAAATAAGAAAAAAATTAATAGATGTTGTGCGAACATTTCGTCCTAATGTAAAGTCCTTCGAGGGCGATTTACGACTTCGTCGCTAGAAATCGAACTTGGGACTTTAGGATCCTTCACCCTGTGTGTTATTTGAAGGCAATCTGTACAGGAGGCCAAAAATGTGCTGGTTTTTCTACCCCGTTTGTAATAGTTATCATTTCATAATATAAATGAACTTCACAGACCTAATCCTGGAAATAAATATGTTTTTAGCTAGTTGTTGGATTTCTTTTTTCTCGTTTTTAGTTTGACTGAAAGTATTTTTACACACCACTTTGATATAGATTCAAATGTAAATATTTTGCTCTCGTTGTCAAAAGTGTTGTTTAATTAACTTTACTACTAGTAGTAGTAAATTGTGAAAATCGAAATTTATTTCCATAAAAATCAGAATCAACCCCATGATCTGTAATATTCTGCTTCAAAATTCCTAACAACCAGTAGTTTTCTTCATTATCTGACTTTTCGAATGTCCAGTTTTGTATGTTTATTTTCTTCACTAAATAAAATGTACTTCTCATTCATCGTTTTTTCAAAATTATTAACAGAAATCTCGTTTATAAGATAATACTTATTGATCTGTTGTCCTGTGAGCAATACATGAATATGGGAAGAATAATAAAAAGGACACGCGTACGAATGACTTAATACTATGTATAGTTACCTAAGTAAATCAGATTATTTTTATTGATAACCTTGGAATGTTCACCAAATAAATATGCTACACTGGTTTAGGGTTGATATTTCTGTTTCTACACTACTATAATATTCAATATATCCAGGTGTTTTTACATATTGTATTCTTTTCCATATGACAGATAAGATTTTACCGTCGAATAAATGTGAATACTTCATAGCGTTGTGCAAAATATCAATTTAAGCTCATTTTTTCAAGGGATTGTAATGGTAGTGAATGTTAGGCTGTAACTATTCGTCAAATATATTACAGTGATAAATATCATGTTAAATGCACTAAGGTGGATTATTTCCATTTCCATCGGGATGTTCTGGTTAGAAACTTCTCTCGTAAAACGTAGACATTTTCATTCATTTTTTGTAGTAACTGTCAGTAAGTGATGTGTAAATAAATGTCTAGTTTGTTTTAACTGTATTTTGGGCGTGGAACAAATAGTACCATTAACAATATGATAATTCGCAAACAACTTTATATATAATCGATCACCAACAATACCTTTTTCATATTTGTATATGGTTGCTCGTAGTTAATTTATAGTTAAAAATATATACTTGTAGATGAGTCATTGTTCATTTGTGAATAATTAAGGTTCTCTTGAAGAATTTGTCTTGTGTATACTGCTTATGTGATATTATTTGATTATTTCCACTAGTCATTGGATTAGTACTATCTCTCATGTAAATGCCAAAATTGTAAATAAAATACTTTTACATTTCAACAGTCAGTGGCGTATTTTGCAGATACCATCTCGAAATCGCAGAAGTGAAGAGGTGAAGAAATTTTATTCAGAAACCGGTGACTATAACCCTCCAAATCAAGATGCTATTGATAGATTTAAACGTCTTCGTTGGGGTGCATATATTCATGCACGAACTGGTCGAGCTAAACATTTATATAGGTAATGTATATATATATATATATATATATATATATATATATATATATATATACTTCTTTTATTATACATTATTTCATTTTGAAAAATATCCACAAAATTAATGTCATTGAATAATTTTGTTATAACGAATGGATATTAGTATTGTATAGGTATTTAATCGAATTTTCTCCAACTTTGTGATATGTAGCCGAGTAATGAATAGTTATTCAAAGCAAAATAGACTAATTTGTACTTACGAAATCAAGTTTATTGAAAGTTTTATACTAGGTGATAGTTTGTGCGAATTTGTAGAGTTAGGGCTGATAGTTACCATTTTCTCGCACCAAGTATCTAAAGTTTTATATTCGTATATATTATTTCCAAGTGATTACGTTTAGCTAAATAAAACCTTAACTTGAACATTTAGTGATTATTTTTTAAAATGAAAATCTGTGTAGTTTTGTGATGTAAACCAATGATTGTGGTAAACTGCAAGATGAACGAAAATAATTATTTTTCAACAATGTATGTGTGCAGTTTTATTTGCATGAATTGTACTGAAGTTTGATCTGCGTTCGTGTCTTGCAGTGAACACATTACCTTGAAACTACACCTCGGAAATTAGATACTTAACACTTTGTTTGTGCTCTTTATTTTCCAGTGGTTCTTGTAACAAAGCTTGTATACGTATGAGTTACATTTGATTGTCGACTATTCTTTGCTTTTTTTACCGGTTTTACAATTTCAACAAACTTCAGTTTTTATTTATTTTTCCTTTTACATTGTTACACAGACGAAGTGAATCTGAATTAGATCGACGTTCCGAGCACATTTTGACCAATCGTGCAACAACTTTTTTAATAAATAATTTGCTAAATAGACAATGGCGAACACCAAAATATTATCCAAATGATATTTATGAACCATATCATCAAAGAACCGGGGTCCCTTGGGATTATAGATTACGGAAACCCAAATTCTTCCCTTGAATGTTATAATGCTATTTAGTTAAGTTTACACATAAACTCTTTTTAATGATAATACGTTTTATAATTGATCACATTCGGACTACAGGTAACGATAGACATTTAAATCTGTTTTCTTATACTCTTTCTCCATGGCTTTAAGGAAGAATAAATTGAGAAAACGGACAAGATACCAGGTGAAATGCAGCGAATAGTGCTTTTGGCATTTTTGTGGTTTTTACAGTTATTTAGTGACCTTTTGATTTAAGGTGAACACGAACAACTATTATTACTCCATGTTAAGTGATATGTCATTAATGTGATAATGAGAATATGATAATAATTATAATCCCAGTCGAACAATCCGTCAAATAGATCAGTGAGCAGAGTTGACACAGGAACAGAATATTGATAAGATAATACGATTTGAGCATGTCCATTTCGCTTCTGTACTGACTTCGCTGAATGCGTGGGGTTAGAGATTGAGTCGCTTGAGTTGCTCTTCGATTAAGTCAAGCACTTGGTTCATTTATCAGATGTGTAGAGTTCGAAATCTTCATCATCTACGAAGTCTTGGAGGTTGCGTTAGGTTCATAGTAAGGCTCAGTACTTTAATGTGGCCAACTAAGTCCAGCGATGAAGTTATCGACGGGCTAACCACTTTAGTGACCCTGTAACTGACTCTGATTAAATCTTTTCTGATTGTGATCGAAATATACATCCCGGCTACCTCCGTATATAATCATCGACATAAATCGTGTTGGCGAATGACGGAATCAAATTCAAATACGAGAATGAAGCTTGAGTGCGCATATTTCATACAATCGGCGATCTGAACAGACAACCAGAGAGGGGAAGCGAAACTAAACGATACGCATTGAAGAAGGCGAGTGACCCGATTCCATTTGATAACGCATGACTCAATATTTATATTCAGACAAAAATAAATTAGACACGTAATGAATAGAGCAAACAATTAACACACACTCGATCACATAAAAACAGTCTGAGTTAATCAGCGAATAGTTGACAAGGTCGTAATATGGCTTGAGAAGAATAAATAAATTGGTCTTTCCAGAAGCTAGAAAAACCTATGTGGGTTGACATAGGGCCGGTCACTACAAGTTTTCCAACAAATAGCCTTAATTAGGTTATTTATTATCTATGGGAAATGGTGCATATTTTATGCATTTCAGTATGTTACTATAGCAGATTCGAAAAAATTTTATAGACTTTCTTTGACGATGACAGAAATCGATTATCAGACAAATCGATTGGGAACGAAGATTTCACATCTGACTAACAAACGCTTCTTTAAAATAACCGTGAAAGTACAAAACAATCAACTTCTATTCGATAAATAAGTCTGGGAAGTATTTTTTTAAATAAGAGAATTATTAACCATATTAGGAATCCAACTTTTTGTTAAATAATCTACTATTTACAATTATCAAAACAAACTTTACGTAGATAACTATTTTTTCATCACAGTAAGTAAATGTCAAAAGCTTGATGTAAAAATATACTTATAGAGTTTATTACTTGTATCAGTTATTAACAGAATCCGGGATAAGACCATATTTCTCATTCTGTTGAGCTTCTGTGTAGAGGTACTCATGTCTCTGCAATTACTGTAGCAAACGAGAGCAATGGGGGACAATCAAATGTGTTTGGGTAAAACATCACAGAATCGGTTGTGAAACCATACAATAAATTGTCAATCAATTGTCTCAAACTTGATCGTTCATTCGTATCCACACCAATCACTCGATGTTCTCGTTCTATTCTTTTCGATCTTAACCTTCTGCCACTAGGCATTTCATACACACATGCTACTTATATGTGTTGACATCAGTAGCATACACCACAGTAACTATGCCCCTTTCGATACAACATAAGACATCTGTTAAGGCATCACAGATGAACTGTCAGTTTACTTTTCATAAGCGTACGATATCATAACCCACTAACTTCGTGTTGCTTCAAAGATGGAATGGATTATACTGGTTTTTGGACTGTAGTGAGATTTACTTGCATAAGATTGGCTGTCTTTAAATATGATAAAATCAACTTAATTTTTTTAACTGCTGATGTATCACATGGAAATAAAACGATATAATTCTGTACGAGAATTCACTGATTAGATCCGTGATGCATTCCAATGTATCAGAGCGTGAAAAACACTGAATTAAACACTTGAACACTGAGAAAAATTATTTGATGTTTCAAGAAATATCACCCCAAATCTCCAGTCACTGTAAGCATACTGAAGACATTACTCGAGAAGCTGCATGTTTTCAAAATGGTTTAGACTATCAGCTGGTTACGTTTACTTTAAGAAGTAATGGAATCTTCGAATGTCATAACTTCTATATTTATTTATTTTGATAGATTCATAAGATGAGGCGAGTAGGCCTAGAACAAATTCCTTAAAAAATTGAAAAACTAGTTCAGGAATAAAATGATCTAATTCTTGTTGTCGGCCGCAATAAAAAAGGCAGTAGACTGATGAACGAAATGCTTGTCATTCTACAACTGCTCAAATATTTTGCCCAAGTAATATGCTTTGAAAGCTTGGAAATAAGTCAAAAGCATTTTGATTAATATAAGGTCTTCTCAAATACCAACACATTACAGAAGTATCAAAGCAGATAAACTGAACAACACATTCGAGAATTGAAATTCCCAAGCATAAATTTTCTTATGGGATAATCTCAACGCATAAGTTTTGTAAGGTTAGATTTCCAAATGATTTCTTTAAAAAAATATAAAGCGTTGCTATCCTAGCATGTTATATTTTTGAATAATTTGAGCCAAGCGGATTGTTTTCGAACAGGGAACCAACTTACAAGCAGTTTACTAGGAAAAAGCTCAATATCTGTGTGTAGTTGATGTAGTAAAAGATAAATAATAAACACTGGTTTTCAGCACTTCACTTATTATGAACTATCACATAGGCATTTCGATTAATGTAAGTCGATAACTGTTGTACTTTTTCTCCACTTTAAGATACTTCCATAAAACTGCTTCGATATAAATAAAGAACGGACCATATTTTGTGTAATTTTAAGGTTCTTTAATTAACGCATTTTGGTTGGAAGTGAAATATCCGCAAGCTTTCTAGAGTTTTTCTATTTCTGAATCCTAGATAACTATTGACTGAAAAACCGGAAACCATTTTTCAGCTACTAACTATAGATAGACAGGTTGAGTCTTCAATATATTTGCTTGAAAAGATTAGCAATATCGAACTAATTCGCGTTTAATGGGTTATTTGGGGTTTAAATTTCTCCGCAGTGTAAGCTAAATATTCGTCGAATCTATTACTTCACGCGCTATGTAAAATGAGCAGCAAGTTGCGATAAGTCTACAAAGTATAATTAACTCGTCAACGAATTTTCTTTATTGAAAAGTATCAAAAAAAATTACCATCATCTAGTTGATGTCATTAGGAACATGGGACAAAAGGCAGGGATAAGAAAAGCAGGAGTAGTCTTCTTACAATTTAAGGATGTATGGAACTCGAAACAAATGTCAGCCAACACCGAAGTTAGAATTTACAATAAAAACACCAAGACATTCCTATCGTATGGAACTAGAACTTAGAGAACTACTACCGTCATCATCAGACGGATACAGGTATTCATATACAGTTTACGCAAGATCCTTCAGATCTGTAAGCCAGACACCATTAGCAAAATCAACAATGGCATAGAAAAAACTAGATTACAGTTAAGGAGAAATTTAGAGAAAGACGCTGGGGGTGCATAGGAGACACTGCAAGTCTATTTATATTCGCATCACAAATTGAGCTCTAACTTGAAATTTCGAAGGTAAAAGAAAAAGTTGTTGACCAAAGAACATGTTGAGTCAGAAATCAAGATAGTGGATATCACTCGAAAGCAACTGGAAAGGAGAGCCTAGGACAGAGTAGGTTTGATATTTTTGTGAGAGGTCACAGGTATAAAGAAGTAAATGCTTATGTATACAATTGAAGTTATTTACAGAATATTCATATTAATTTGTTATTCCTTAAGTGATAATTTTTTTACAAGATGTACTGGTTTTTCAAAAACTTAAGTAGAGTTGATATATCTGATATTTGACAAAGCAATTCTATTCACATCACCCAAGATCAAATTTTGAGATATTCACTTATGCCCCTAATCAAGCGGGATTAAAACAATGTGATCACGATTTGAATTTCCAGAGTCCATGTTTTTAGGGCCTTTTATAATTACTTTAAGCATCAAGAACAACATATCGATACTATCGGAAGTTTAGTTATTAATCAATCATATTCAAAATTATCTTATTTTTTCCAATAGTATAATAGATGACAATAAGGTTGAATAAATGACATTGTAAGAGTTTACTTGCCGTTTATGAAGTACTTTCGAACCAGTTGTTAGGAAAATGGAACAATGCTTACATAGCCTTACCGTCACATGTGATCTTGAACATTACCTCATTAACAGTTTACTCTCCTATTAACTAAAATAATAAATGCTGTATTAAAATGGGTTATTAGCAAATAATTAGCGTTTCAAATAGTTTGAATTATTTCTGGTTAGCATTTTTTATTGAGTTAGTTTTCTACGGGATGGGGTCGCTAACCCATACCCAACCATATTCCGTTATCCGAGTTTGAGACCGGCAGTAGCCCCAGATGGTATCCAGGCGGATTTATGAGTGAATAATCACTAAATATTATCGTAATGGAAGCACTAAATATTATCCGATTCAAAACTAACTTTCCACACATTTTAAAAACTAATTGAGTGACATAGTAACTAGAACTATCTTCACCACCATCACAATCAGAAATGTGAAAATTATTCAGTAATCATCGATAATTGGTTCGTGTATTAAAAAAATAAATTTCTGAAAGATGTGTGTTGTTGGATTCATCTTGTTCATATATTAACTGATCATTGAATAGTCTACAAATAACAAACTGTATTATTTGTTCTTTCGAAGTATTCTATTAATTTATAATTCTGATATGATGGAAAGAAAAGTCC